AAAATATTACGTGTCGAATATGTATATTGCAAGTACAAATAATGTTATATGCGTGAAAATGGACAAGTGTGCCTATAGGGTTTTTTTTATTTTTACAACACATTCGAGAAGACTATATATACGTATTATTCAGCTTTTCAAGTTTAACTTGTGTTTAGTTTTATTTTGATCTGCAAAGTCACTTTGTTTGAAAGATACTGTATAAAAGTAAACAGTGCGATACACAGTTTATACAAATAAAATTAACTAAGCATTACGTAAGGATAACAATAAAAAAAATGTCATTATATTTTTCTTACCACGAAAAAAGTCAGAGGAGTAGAAGACAGTGAAACTCAAAAAAGTTCTGTGGTATATTTTAATGCCATACCTATATTTTATTTTTAATACTATAATTTGTTTAATTTATATTAATACCAAATAAAATCGATCAATTGATATAAATATTTAAGTATAACTCAAGGAAGAGCCCAGAATCCAGAGACCCCCTCACTGGTTACGTTACTATATGTACGACTGGCGCTATGCAACAATTTCCACGGTTGTCACACTATTGTATAAAGAATATATGATAAATATAAATAATGGATTCACGTTGCTCGATAATAAATGCGTATTATTATATTATTATCATGTAGAGCATAAACATACTTATCGTTTCAATACGGTATTTTAATCCACACTGGTTCGAACTACATAAATCTGTGTATTGTTATAAAATCTTAGTAAAAAATTAAAGATAAAAATTAAACTATTATATCCTAAATCGTTCTCATTGCAGAAATTTTATATAGTCATAATCCTATATAATAAATTCACGAAAACTACACCAAAGGGTGTTCATACAGTATACCATTAAACATTTACAATCCGATTTATAGTGTTATTATTATTTTAAAACCTTTATATATATATTATACTATACTGTCGACGACCCTATAATTTTAGATTTGAACGTCGTCAAATCATCACACAAGTAATAAAGCGTAACATCATAAATAATGTGGAAAAGCTTTTAAATAATATTTCCATTTACCATACCGTGTTGTCCTATTTACAACATTGATAAATCCATTTGGCCGACTTCCCGGACGAGTTTTAAATGAAACGTCTATTTTTTCGACTTAAATGCATATAAGGAATTTTTAAGACCAATAAATCCGCCTTCCTATTATTAACTATACAGACAATTGCGAGTTATTTGGCTCATTCCCACTTTAATTCTACATTGTTTTACACAGACGTGACAAACAGTGGAATCTCAAATAGACTATTATAATATTTTAACTGCAATTCTGGAACGGATGTTCTGCCATGAACGGCTGTTTTTACATTACCTATTGTTGTATGATCATACAACTTTTAGTTTATGTTATTTAAATTTTGAGTACTTATAAACATATTGATACTAGTTAATTGTAACTTTAAATATTTTTACAAGAGTTAAAATTATTAAACGATTCTCTGGACGATATTATAATACGATAGTTTGGTTATCATTGTAAAAAAAAAAAATTGATCAGTTTAAATTACAACATATTTTAGTAATTATTATACTTGAATTATAGTTAACTGTAGATATATTAAATAAGTACTAAAAATTTTCGAGAAAACGGAAATTGTATTAAAGATGTCACAGTTTTTTATTTAATTATATAATTAAATCACTTACTTTATGTAAATGGTTTTATTCAATAATTATTTAAATTCATTCAGTTTTTTTGTGTCTAACGTTGACGAAACTGATATAAAATATTGTAGAATGAAAAAAAGTATATCAATTAAAATAATTTTGAGTGTATTGTTAGTTATAAGATTTTATTAAGACGTAAAATTGTTTTAATGACCATATATTGGTGATAAAGTAACTTTTAGTGACCAGCCAGATTACTTTTTTTTTATTTTGGCTAATGCATGAAAATATTGTCCGCGCCCACTTGGTCCGGTTGGCAATCAGCCACGGGAATTCGGCCAAACAAAGATGTCCCCACCTAAGTCCCAATAGCACGTATGCCATGTGATAATATTCGTTATTTTATTGAGTTTTAGTGGTTTGGGCATATTTTGGTCGGCAAACTTTTTTTCTATTTGTACGGCCTTCAACTTCAAACTCATATTATAGACTACTCACCTAGTCCTACCGTGGGTAGTATCTGAGTCATCTTTTTTATTATCTACTACAAATTTGAGCACAATTTATAACAGAGACATTTTTTTTTCAAATTAATTGGAAACTTCGATAAAACTCAAATTTAAAACAAATGAAAATATAATATAAATTCAAATCAAAACAACTGCATTAAATTTTTATTGATTAATGGATACATATAATGTAAAAAGCATGATAAATAACTAATTGACAAACGTATTATTAATAATTATGATTATTATAGTTTATCTATATCGCTTATAATTAACAAATTATGCAAATCGTTTTATTCCATTATTTTAATACTACTATAATAATAAATAATAATATTTACAATATTAATTTTATTGACATTTATTTTCATACTGTGTATGTTTTTAAAAATACGACTAATGTAAGACGATTAATTATAACTAATCGTTGCGAAATTTGTCATTTTTATTGGAATTAATAAGTTAATCACGAGTTTTTTTAAACCTCTCATTTTATAATATTATATGCACCTATAATATTGAATTCAGTTAACACGTATCACGCGTGCACGTTAATCGCGCCGGCGCTTGTGGTTACCGTGTTTTAGTTGAATTAATGGGAGGCGGCTGAACTGTACAGCAATAATATAATTTTATACGGAGAACATGAGATTACGATTACACAGTCTCTGTTACCGTGGAATAATAAAGTCATTGTGATATAATTTACAAAATAACAAAAACCAACGTAACGTGTTCAATTAGGAGTTCACTGTTCACTACCTTTTTTTTTTACAGAAATAAACACACCCCCGAGGTTAACATCGTGTAGGTACATATGTAATAAATTATTTAGGAAATTTTGTATGAAAATTTATTCAACTCAAATAGCAAATCCCATTTAAATTAAAATCATTCTATATTACTTAATTTAATTATTAAAATCGCTATTTATTGTTATCATTTTTTTTATTGGTAAAGTTTCATAACTTAAAAACCAAAAGAAAAAAACACATTACTATTTATTATTTTATTTCGTAGATGTTTTTTAACTAAGCACTAAGCAGCCTTTGTCATCATATTTTTATAAACTAAGTTCAATTCAAAAAGTAAAAAGAAAGTAATTTTTTATCGTACACCCCCGAATGAAAATAAATAAAGATGAGATTTTATAGTTGGTTAAACTCAATTATTGTATAACCATTATTTCGAATAAATCAATAGCATTGTGACTCTTTAATACTCTACGATACCATTATAGTTTTTAAAATTTAAGAGTATTAATTTATATTATATAATGTTTATTCAGTTTTAATTTAACTATATTTAGTGGCATAGTTAAAGGTTTCCATCTTTTTGTGAGAGAGAGAGCTGATAATTTGTTATTTAGGAGAAATTTAAAAAAACTAGGATCCCTCGAAACCCGTAAATTTAATATGCTGAAATCATAAGTATATAAAATTTTAAACTTTTGCAACCTTCATACAAATTACAATTTTAATATATACTTACGTTTTTCATAATACTTCAAAATTTCTGGTGGGGGAGGGGGTTATGGAAGCCCTTGAGTACCACTGACTACGCTACTGTAAGTATGTAAACATAGCTTAACTAATATGTGAGTGATTACTGATAACTGATAACTGTTAAGTATATAGTATATTAAAATATTTAAAACCATTAAATATATATATATAAAGGATTATGTCTATCTATATTTTAACCATTTTCAACATTTTTAGTTTTAATATGCATATAATATTATCAAAGATATAAATAATGAGTTGACGTAATATTACGTAAGGAAAAATTGTAGATTTTTATGAAATTTTTAAGAATCAATTTACTAAACAAATCATTAGAATTTAGAGCACTGTAAAAGTTTTGATTTTTTTTAATTGAAATTTTTCTTTCTATATTATAGATTATTGGGTTGTTTTATCATCCTAATAATTATAGAGTTAATTGTATCGCATTGCATATAGTTGAATAAGTGAAACTTTTAAGAAAAATATATTAAACTTACTCATATTAATAAATTCTTATTAAGTGAGCCAATCATCAGCTAATTGCATGAGTTTTCTTAATATTATTACTATTATATATTTTGCCATGTTAAAAAAAAATCAACAGTTGAATAGTAAATCTAGAATTAAATCTGAAATTTATTTCAGTTACAAAATGCCAAAGATTTCAGTACCATGCACGATATATTTAATACCTATACGACTACTGTACCTAACCATATATATTTTCTACATCGATAATGGTCAGAAAAAAATGTATACTTGAATCCATTTACGAGTTACTATCCTACTGTTGCCGCGAAGTTAGACGAGTTGACATTACAGGTTTGTCAAACTCGATCACGGGACGAATCACTGTAGCGTGAAATAGCACATAATATACTTGGACAAAAACAGTTGCGGGGGAGATGAAGTCAACGACTCCATGAACTGTATCTATACCGTAAACCACCGTTCGGATGCCAGAGGTAGAGATAAAGGATACTATATTTACGTTAAGTTTTATCACTAAGTTTTTTAATTTAATATATTTATTTTTTTTTGCTACTTTCATTTCATGCCGGTAGAAACTAATCTAAATAAATGTTTAGGATACCAGCTACATTTTTTAAGTTGGTTTTTTTTTTTGATACCAAAGTATTAGTCATCACGACAAGATAGTATGGTATGTGGAAACGACTTGCTGCAATAGCTGCAATGAAATCTCTAATAATAATCGTTTTTACAAGCTTGTGAACACGGGCTATCATAAAGCTCGACAAGCTGCTGTTACGATGATAAATACGGTATCATAATAATGATAACTGTAGGTGCCTATAAGTGTATTAAACCGAAAATGATGGCAGCGCTTACCTTGGTCGATCCGCGAAGTCGGCGTGTCGTATAGGCCGACCGACCGGAACCGCTGTACGGCTATGCGGCATTCTCCGTCTGTGGCTGACTCCGCAGACGTCGGGTAGGCGCATCCGTCCCACCGACGGTGCACCGACAACACGATTACCGCCAACAAAAACCTCCGCATGTCGGACTCGGAGGTGTGGGCGGTTCAGCGACGAACTTGAAGGTGTACTTCTTATATATTTAATTTTAGGTATACGTATTTAAGCACGATGATTCGCGGAAACTCGATCGGAAACTGTTGCACACTCGCGCGACCGCCAGCAACACGGCGACGTACCAATATATTTTATAATTATGTATGTATAGTACGGTATCGTCTATGTGAAACCTATGGAATATAATAATCGTATTTTTATATTATATTATACTATACTGCGTCTCCGGAACTTAAGTCGAAATCACGTGGGAAAATTTTTTTATCAAATTCGAAAAAAATGACACCGCACACCCGATGTACGAAAATCGCGAGATATATAATATATTGTATTGCGCACACGGTGACGGTTTTGCGTACTCAACGGTTGAAATTTTCGCGCATTTCCCCGTACAAAATTTAATTTAATATATTATATTATTATTATTGTAACCGAAGATTAAAATACGAATACGATGGCTGCGGCGGCGTCGTTACCACAACGCACATGCGACTCGACCGAGTGTGAACGGCACGACTGACTGACGGATTCGCGGGCGATGCACGTCGTCATCGGGGGCGCCGCCGCAACGTGACGGGTGGGCGGTCACGATCTGGAAAAGCAGGGGCGGAGGGTCTTCTGGTGTTGTGGTGGCGGTGGTGGTGAAGATGCCGGTCAGCTGAGCCGGACTGCTGCGACGGCAGGTCGACGGCCGCGCACTCCATCTGTCGGCCTACGGGACGGAGATTTGCCAATTTTTAAAACGTGCAATTTATTTTTATCGTCTTTGCAATAATTCAAACATTGTGTTTACGTATTATTTCATTTTTATTACTGTATTATCATTACGCTCGAACTAAAATATTTATATTTTTATATACTATGCATATGAACACATTATTCTTATAAACGTAAATAAGGTCATACAATTTTTTTTTGCATTGAGATTCATTTACACAATATATTGTCCAAACATTATTTTGCTCAAGATTTAATATAATAATTATTATTGTGTTACGTGAAATTAATATTTGTATATTTTAATTTTCAATATATTTATTAGTTATAGGTACTTAATAATTAAATTTAGTATTTGCAATTACATTTTATGTAGTGCGTATATTAATGTATATAAATTATAACAACCGTATAGGCACGTACCGTATCTAATAATCAATTTCGGTTATGATTTAATTTATATGATTTAGAAATAACATCGATAAATACTAATAGTATTTATAATCATCAATGGTAGTAATGTAGTATATCTATCTCCAGGGGTAGACTGACCCATCAAAATATCAGAGTATTATTAAACAATAACTGTTAATAATATTAAATAAAAAATAAAAATGTTGAATGTTTTTGAAAAAAAAAAATTTTTTTTTTTTTTTGTCGTATGAAAAAAATGAACTAGCTGAATTTAATAACGGTGAAATTATTAACAAATTAGTTATAACAAATGAATATTTAAAAACAAATTCTTTTCTCAGGTTAAAAATACTTATAACAAATTAGCTGAAAACACCACAATTATTGTCACATAAGTTATATGTTCAATATGATAATTTTTATTGAAGATATGGAGGATGTAAAAAGGGTTTTTTTAATAATTTTTTTTCATTTGCAAATAATATACGGATATGGGTTTTCTAGATCTAAATTCCAGTGATTTTTTTAGTCATAATTCACCCTGGTTACCTAATTTAATCTGTTAGGTATATCGTATATGCAATGACTTTATAATTCATATCGATCTTAATATTGTCTTCGTCTGCTGAAATTTGTATAGGTAACTTATCATAGTAATAAAATTTGTTAGTGTCTATACTTTAATATATAATGTATTTAAAATTAAAAAAAAATGTTGTAATGAATTGTCAATTATACATCGACTTAATATTAGGTATATTGTAAATAATAGTCGCCTATTTGAATACTTACATTCATTGTCAGTAAGTTAACAATTTTAACTTTTAAACAAAAAATATAGTTGCTTGAATACAATTATAATGTGAATATTTTTTCTCAATCGAAATTCTGTAATGTTTCATAAGAAAAGTAAAAAGCTTGATGATAGCATTAATATAAGTTATAATATAAATTATTTAAATGCAGGGTGGGTCAGTGGATGCTTGCAGGCTCTTGTCTTTCACCATTCTACCCTGTTTAAATATTTTAACGTAGTTACATAACAAAGTAACAAATTTAAAATTCATATGGTTCTAACTACATACCTATTATTGTTAGAATGACGTAAATAAAATTTCATAAATTGATCATGTATAGTGGTATACAGTATACGCGATACACAAATCAATTTTACAAAGTTTATTAAAAATGTGAGTTAGGTATATCACAGTATATTTTTTCTACTTAACCTTTACTTTTTTTCTTTTTTTGCAGACACTAAACAAAAATTTTAATTCAGCTACAAAAGTACCCTGAGTAATATTTTTTTTAACTGCAGATTGATAAGTTAATAACAGTGGTTTCTGCCTGAATTTTTTTTAAGTAACTATTTTTTTATTTACAACGGTATTTAAATTTTAGCGTCGTTTCCTATTAAATATATACTTATATATTTTTTTGCATTACCAGATTAAATTTTTATTTTATTTTATTGTACTGTATAGTATAAATAACAAAAAAATTATACGTGTAATGTTTGTAAAAAATCAGTAAAAAAAAATAGTTACATACAAAATTATATTTATTCGAACTTGAGTTGTCATATGTATTATGTTTATATAAAGTCTTTATAAATTAATCATATATTACTAAATTATTTATTATGGCCTATTTATTTACGTTGTACGAGTATTTAATAACATAATAACATATGTATTTATATATATTTAAAACAGACAGCGTTCCCATCTTAGAGAAAAGCAGTTTTTTTTTTTTTAATATTGAATATCATAATCAGGTGATGCACTAATCAGCATTTGGCACACGTAGGAATATTCAGATTACATCATGGGAGTTAGGTATGTATAATATGTATATCAATTAATTAAATTAATCTTTATGTATTGAATATTATAGAATAATCATATATATTATGTTATTTGTGAAATTCAATTACAAATTACTGATTAATCAATAGTTATTACTTTCAGAAGAGATATATTATATTGGGTTATTCTTTTATCAAATAACATTAATTATTTATATTACTTATTTATTTATTTATTATTTTTTTTTTTTTTTTACATAATTTTCATATATGTATTTTGTTAATTTTTTTAAATTCTTATACTTTTTTTAAAAATATACATTTTTAATTTCATATTTTGAAGCAAAATATATTTCAGAGTACTTTTATACACAAAAATTGAAATTCGAACATGTAGTTTATGAGTTTTAAATATTTAAAGTTTATTTGTGACTTTGTGAGCCTACTACTTCGCTCACCTATAAACTTTAAATACTTATTAACTACTCGTCGAAATTTCGATGTTTATTTATCAAAATATTTTGCTACAAAATATGAAATCATAAATACATGTTATTCAAAAAAGTAAAAACTTAAAAAAAATTATTATTATAAATAATATTAAAAATTACACTCAAGTCCTATCAGATTTATTTGTTTATATAATAATTTCTTGGGATTATTAAAAAATTAAAAAAAATATTTTCAAAACGTTCGTATATTTAAAATAATAGTGTTATTTGATAAAAGAATCACTCTGTATAGTAGGGATTTGTGTGTGACCCACACCCAGGTAATTTAATCGCTAATTGGCAAAAACGCCTTATCCTTGGCCTTCAAATTTTAAATAACAAATTCAGGAAAATCAGTAGTACAGAGGTTCTAAGTGTATCTCAGCTTTAACTAGGTCACTAATATTGACGTATTAAATTTAAATTTAATATTTTTATTGTACCTATACGGAAAAAATAAAATTATGTACTCAGACCATTCGTCAATTTTTCTCAAGATGTTTTTTAACATATTATTTAATATAGAACAGTATAAAAAGCTTAAAATTAGTATACGTAAATATTTTGAAATTCGCATAGTTCCTACATAAAAAATAAAAGTATGTCTAAAAGTTTCATATTTATTTAAACTTTATGTTTTATAATCAAATTTATAAGAACGATATTTTTTATTTAAATATATTTTTTTTTAATTTGAATTTCTTATGAATATAAAAAATCATGTCCGTGTATTTTTAATATTTTTTAATTTTATTTACAATAGCTTACGGTAAATTTTGTATTAAAACAAGGCCTAAGATATTAAAATTTGAATGTTATATACTCATAAATCAGTGAGAAACTAAAAAGATGTTGTCAAATATCTATAAATAGCTCAAAAAAGTTTATATTTTGTTGAAAAAATGTGAAATTTTATTATAATATAAATAAAAATAAATATTTCGTGTAGATTTTAAGTATTTTATAGTTATTAATTTTTAAAGTATAACGAAAAATACAAAATTATTACGTTGTTAATTAATGTTGCGTCAATATTCTTATTTTCCCTACTCTCTTTTCATTATTTTTCCCAGCTATTAAAAAGTCCTAGAAATTTTTACTTTTTACTCTTCTCTTATCATTCAAAAAAATTTACTTATTACTCCCAAATTACTACCTTAAACATCCTTAAAATCGATGACTTATGTTTTAGGAAATGTAACAAACAAATAAAACACATCATTGTAAAACCAATCAATATTCATCACTTCACTCAGGGTTTAAAAATCTTGGGTTAAAAGTATAACATATTAGTTTAATAACAGTATTTTAATAATAGTCTGTAGTTTAATCAACATTACTATATTTTTAATTTGCATAGGATAAATAAGAATTATTATTGCTAAATCTATTGCACTGTAAATATTAATATTTAGATGGAAATTTATAATTTAATATTTTGTAGAGAAAACTCATTGAGAATTAACTTTTTTCCTAAAAATATTATTAAAATGTTATTAAATGTCATTATTCTTATTAAATCTAGGTAATATGTATTTAAATTTATATTAGTGACATTTATTAATTATTTAAGTGATTATTTATATAATTCGTCAACATGTGTTAATATTAAAGTACTTAATTAGGTAATGGTAAAAATAGTTACTAGGAAGTATATTACAAAATTATAATGTTTTAATTATTATCTTATATTTATATTATAATTCATAATAATAACATGCAACATTGTACAACTTTATAACACGTGCATAATGTTCAAATTTTTATTTGATAGTATGCATTAATATAACTTAGTTCTTATCAATAAAACACATAAAAAATGACAGAGAATTAATGTTTTATAAGTGGTAGCCTGCAGTTAGCATCAATATTATGCATTTTTAATTCTATCGTGTTTTATAAACTCAAATTCCGAAAAATATTTGTCATTGATGAATTCTCTTTAACTTTATTCATAGTATTTATTCAATTCTATTTTTTTTTTTTTTAACGTTGAGAAAATAATATCAATTTAAAATTATTACTTAAAAAAAAATAATATATTGAATACAATATAATAATTACTATAATATTTAAG